GTTGATGTAAACTTGCTGTTGAACCGATCACTACTTCTGGAGGTTCCCCTGAAATACGTCGGGCATCCCCTATGAAAGATCGAACTAGTCGCTTCGTCCCGAGCGGAATAGCGGATTGGCCCAAACACCGGGAGCACGAGTTGTCGGATTCTGCCCATTGCCACGAGTTGTCTGCAGCCGGGTCTTGCCCAAAATTCCGCCGCTCAAAAAACCAAGCAGGCAAGCAGCAACTGGTCTTTCTCCCAAAAAAGAAAACACGAGGCACGTGCGCAGAACGGCCTGTGAGTAGAACTGATGGAACCCACCCATGGAGATGATGGCTCTCTCTTTTTGTGCTTCGGGACCAGTGCGGCTGGCAAGGGATGAATCGCGGGACGTCCCGAAATGGCAACAGTCTCCTTTGGGTTTCCCTATAAAACCACTCCACTTTTCGGGGTCTTCATTGCACATGTCCCAAGCTGGCCCGAAACCTGCAAAAGTTCACTAAGCGGGTAAGGGCAAATGAAGGAGGCGACAAGAAGTCAAGGCTAAAAGCCAAGGCTTCAAAAAGCTATCATTCTAGTCTGGCACATGCCCCTTTTCGGGGTTCATTTGGCCACCACTCGCTCCCTTCCTCAGCTTCCGTTGCTTTCGACCCCGGGATATGTTGGGATATGTTGGGATGTTCGCTGTGGGGCCTACACTAAGGGAAGCAAAGGCCAAACAGGGCCCTCGGCGGGTTCCACCAGACCAGGCTCATGGTTTCGTCAATGGCTGCGGGAGAGGGTCTTCTTTTGTGGTTTTGAAAGGAGACTCAAAAGGAAAACCGCCCTTTTGGGGTCAACAAACAAGAGGCACCCAAGAATCTTCTAGACTTCCTTGGGACATCATCCAAAAAGGGGGTATTTGTTCCCCCAGGCTCGGACACACCGGGCGCAGCTCCAGATTTTCTCATCTAAATCCAATGCCATCACGAAGCCACCCTCCAGTCACCTGCATCCATTGGTCCATGAGCTCCAAAGCCTTGTGGTAAAAGCAAAAATCGGGGTTTGTGCAACCACCCGCTTCGACAAAAAACACGCGCAGTTCCGGCTGCCGTCAGTTGTTGTTAGCCTCACCTAAAAGCAAGAGCAGCCACCCACTTCGACGAAGAACAAAAAATAGTTAGGGCTCGAACATCCGCGAGGCTTCCTCCGTGAAGCTGTTAGTTCCGGCTGCCGTCAGTTGTTAGGGGCTCCGCTGACCTCCAACCATAGCTCACAGAAGGGCAATAGATGACGGCCGAATCTGGTGACTTTCTGTGTAAAAACTGCCCAAAAACAGGAATCCTCGGGTAGGAGGAGGTCGTAAGTCAAACTCTGTGTTCATCGACTGATTGTTGGAAAGAACGCACTAAGAACAAGTCGCCCCACAGACCCCCCTAAGCTGTTTTGCACCCACAAACCTTCGGGGACGAAGGGGACCCCTCGCGCATACAGATCTTCGCTTAGCGAAGCAGCTCGCATGAATCGACGAAGCTCGCAAGCGTAGGACGCCTGCGAGCCAGACGGGACTGACTGGATGTGCACAAGTTTGGTTGCAACGTTCGTGCCAGTCAGTCCCGGAAAGAACTCCGGGCACGGCCGGGCACATTCCTTGGGAATGCCATGGGAGTGCCCTGAACGTGCAGAGGTGTCGAAAGCGATCTATGAATGGCCTGAGGGCCAATCAAAACCTGGCATTCAAGCAGTGTACCCCGATCACATGGCAAAAGATCAAAAAAAAAAAGTGGAAGAATGCCGAATCCAAGTAAAAACAAGTTACAAATGATAATATCCCTAACAACAACGAAAATAAATAAGAACGATCTTGAGCTGAACTAAACGAACCGCGCAGGAGCAGAAGCTAAAGCAGCTGCAGCTAAAAAAGTGAAAGGAAAATGCTGCGCTGAAACACCCCGGTTTGAGCTAAACCGCAATATCAATGTCATCTGCCGCAGCTCACCTTGCCCTTTCCTGGTGACTTGGTGTTCCAGGTCGGGTGCGGTGTCCTTCTCGTTTGCTCTCGTTTGTAGGATTGGGGTTGTATGCAAAACAGGAAAATATTGGAATTTGTCGCACACCCACTGGGTCTTGGCAATCCAGCAAACGAGCACAAGCCCCAAAAACACACCCAAACAGCAACACAGATTGTCCCGGCTCTGGGTTGCTCAGCCTGCTTTTCCCTTTTACAGTTGACCTCAATTGTGACGTCGGTGCTGATCCCTCCAAGCGCATTCCCCCATACCCCCATAATCTGCCCTTCTGTTTTGATGAATGGCCATCTGCCTGCTCGATGCATGTCGACCATCATCCCAGGTGTTGATCGTTTCCCAGAAGAATCTTCGATTCGTCCATCAGTTCGGCTTTGATCACACGGGAAAGCTGGGGTTGATCCCTCAAGCCAACAATTGCGTCAGTTTGCCATGCAATTATGGTCACAGACTGGCCTCATTATGTTATCAAAGTCGGGTTGAAGGGAAACAGCCCCATTTTCCGACTTTGATAACCCCCAGAAACAGCGAAACTAATAACCTCTGAAAGACTCCTACAAAAATATGGCCATGTTCACGTTTCCCTCATTCTGATTGCCTCGAAGGCGACACCCAAATCACACCTTTGTGCTGCAAGATACCATCTTGTAGGTAGTCCACGTTATAATCATTCCGCAGACCACCCGTGTGTTTGTGTCACTATATGTGAGAAGCGCCCAGGACCCGTTGACTGTTGGTTCTACCAAGATGGTGATAAAGGTTGATGTTGCCCCGACTACAACCCCTGTAAAACCACCATCCAACAATGGCCCAGAGGGGACCTGCTGTACCCTGCTGATTCAAATCCCAGTAAAAGTTTAAACTTTTATGTTGGTTCGAGTTTGGCTTACAAGTCAGCCCGGGTGGGTCAGTGTTCTTTTGAGGGTACCCTGTTTGGGGTTGGTTTAAAGGAAGCATGTGCTTACCGCTAAAATGGTCCAAACCCAGGTGCAAACGCAGGGGGGTGGGGCGAGGAGGTGGGGCCTCAAATAGGCGAGGGGCCAAAACCACCCCCTCCCCCCAAAAAAAATTACCCCGGCACGAGACCCCAAACAGTGATAGGCGGCGGTCACACGCTGCAGAGTATTGTGCGGGCAGCGCCGCAAAACGGCGGTTGTGGGAGGAGAGACACATGCAGCACCAAGAAGAAAAAAGGCGCACAGGCATGGCCAGCAGGCATGCTCGTTTTTTCTGCCATGAGCAGCACATATCGGTGAGACGGCAGAATCGCAGGACAGGGCTGCTGGGATAGATGCGTGGCACTGCGCGCAGCCGCAGCAGGCCAGTCTGTTGGTAGATGCAAAGGCGCTGCGGTCAAGGCGTGGTAGCTTGTTGCTGCAAACAGCCGACGCGGCGCACGCAGAGTGCTAGTGGCAAGCTCTCGCAGCACAGAAGCGTTATCAAGGCAGGCCCAAAGACTGGGCTGTCTGGCTCGGACCCTTCCACAGCAGGCGTGTACATAAAGCGCGCGCTCCCAGATCGCAGGGCGCACAAGAAGGCGTCAAACTCATTTGGCGCCATGTTATCGAGGCAGTTCATGCGGTGCAGCGCTGCGAGGGGCGGCAGGCCGCGAAGGCGCGGATGTTGGTCGATCCACTGTTGCATGGTAGCTTCGTCTGCGCAGCGGAAAGAGTTGTCAAAGAAAGTCGGCAGGCGGATTTGTGCATGGATCCACTCGGGCGCATTCCAAGACACGCGCACGTCAATGACATCGTGCGCCAAGAACCCTGGCAGCCACAGCCGTATTGCCAGGATAAAATTTGCGTAAGCTTCTACTTCTTGGCGTACGGCACGGGCGCGCTGCATCCAGACGCGGCAACGTGCAGCACAGCAGGTCGTCATGAGCCGCAAGAACAAACAGACATCGCCTAGACACGCGGCCTGAGCGCAAAGCACGGGGTACATAGCAGCAGGCGGTCGAATACGTGCGCTTTCTGCTGGGGCGAGCTGTACTGTGGCGAACGACTTGGGTGCTTCCGGCGGGCTCGTCCAAAGCCCGGCAGATTGGCGGCACCGCGTGTCTCCAAGCGGCCAGCAGGCATGGCGCGTTGCGTCATCTTCACGCGCAGCCGCAGTGTTGTTCGAGAGCGCGGCGTTCTCAGCGTCAACGATACTCGGATGCGTCAGGCAGCGTCGAGGCTTCCTGCTGCAAACTTCTCCTTGCTGTTTGGTTGTTGTTACCATCGAGAAGCCGTCGCAGCACAGAAGCACCATCCAAGCATGCCCAAGGAAAGGGAAACAAGCTCGCGCGGACAGGGCGGGAATCGAGCCCGGGACCTTTCACCGCAAACCCGTGCCGCCGGACCACGAGACAAAACCCCCACGGTCCCTGGAGCCGCCAAAAAAGCAAAAAAAAATCGAGCACGCGAAACGCTTGCGGACAGAAGTCGACACCTCACTTTCTGCGAGCCTGCGCAGTCGAAACACATTTCCACATCAAGCAAAAGCACGAATCTGCGGTACATGCCACGCGAAACGCTCGCGGACAGAAGTCGACACCTCACTTTGTGCGAGCCTGCGCAGTCGAAACGCGCTTCGACATCAAGCAAGAGCACGAATCTGCGGCACATACCACGCAAAACGCTCGCGGACAGAAGTCGACACCTCACTTTGTGCGAGCCTGCGCAGTCGAAACGCACTTCGACATCAAGCAAGAGCACGAATCTGCGGTACATACCACGCAAAACGCTCGCGGACAGAAGTCGACACCTCACTTTGTGCGAGCCTGCGCAGTCGAAACGCACTTCGACATCAAGCAAGAGCACGAATCTGCGGTAAATACCACGCAAAACGCTCGCGGACAGAGCGGGCACCTCAATCTGGCACCAAGGCCTTTTCTCTTACCGTAAGAACCCCTTAGTGTAGACACACTGTTTGGGGAACAAAACAACACAAAAACAAAAAACACGGGTTGGTTCACCCAAAAAACTTCGGTCGACCTTAGAAGAGCCCAGGTCTTGAGTGAGACCCTTCACCGTGAGACTTGGGGCATCTTCATGCCCTGGTGCGCGAAGTGCTTCTCCATGCTCTCGCGCCTTAGGGAGGCGAGACTTTCGGCCCAAAGACACGAAGAAGGCGCGCTGCCCATGCGGCCCGAGAAAAACAAGAGAAAACAACACAGAGGAGGTGTTTGAATGTGTGTTTGTTGTGTTTGTTGTTTGATTTTGTGTTTTCATTTTTAAACAAACAAACAAACAAACAAACAAACAAACAAACAAGGGACAAACACGCGCCCGCGCACACACGCAAAAAGAAAAGAAAACAGAGACCCAGTGCAGGTTCTACATGTCCTGTCCACAATACCGCAGCAGATTTGCAGTGACATATCTTGCTGTCTCCTCTCATTGCCGGTGCATTCTGAGTCTGACATCTCAAGAAAATCTGCACTTCCTTCGTGCGGGGCCTCCTCAAAAAATGCCAATAGCAGGCAAGAAATATGTCTTCGGATTTCAATGGAGTGGTTGGCTGTTCCGGACCAGGCACCCTCACATTTACCATTGCACAAACTGCGAAGTCATTCACAGACTAGCAAGGGTGCGTCTTAAAATAGGGAACCCCCAAAGAGGTGGCGTTTCTTTGGTTTTCCTTTAACCCCGCCCCCAAAAAAAGTACCACCAAAACAGACGCGCCAGCAAACCACACACTTTTCCGTGCCAACCTTCATTCCGCTCGGTTTTATTGTGACTCACCGCCGAGGCTGTTTGACGCCATATGCAACCAAACACTTCAAACATCCAGAAGCCAAAACGAATAAAACACCAACAAACACAGACACACAGACAAAAAAGCAATCAAGCAAGCAAGCAAGCAAACAAACAAACAAACAAAGAAACAAACAAACCAACAAGCAAACAAACAAACAAACAAACAAACGAACAAAGAAACAAAGAAACATACATACATACATACATACATACATACATACATACATACATACATACATACATACATACATACATACATACATACATACATACATACATTACATACATACAAACAAACAAACATACATATATACATACTGTAGGATGAGACCCAAACGGCGCGGGCTAACCCTGCATTGATCAACCTATTCTTCCCCCCCAGGGTTTGTTCAGCTGTTCCCGTCAAACGCGGAGTCGGGACGCCTGTACAACATCGCAGCTTTTTTTGATCTGCAGTCACTATGGGAACCCCGGATCTAAGTAGAACGCCTGGTTGATTTATGTATTGTGATTATCTTGGGATTATCCCTTAACCTTCATCTACCCGGGTTTTGATTCTGACACACCTGGTCTATTTCGGTGTTTTTTTCACCGGGGGGTCCCTTACCCTGGGGGAAACATACCCTATAGGAATCGTCTGGGGTCCATATGAACTCACCAACCTGAATTCAGTCACAATCAACACCAGGTTTCAAAATGGTCTTCCCCGAACTGCTTAAACAAAAAAAAAGGCTTCCACACCCATGTATCGTTGGGTTTCGATTGTGGATCAACTGAGGAATCGCAGGTGCGAGATGTTCAGACCTTCAGCATGCTCAGTTACACGTGGGTCAACACCAATGACTGCATCTTCGGGTAGGTGGACCACCCATTTGATTCTGTTTTAGTGGGGATTGGGATGTTCACCCATGGCCAGTTACCCCTGCCGGGCCGCTTCTTCTTGGCCAGACGCCAGGCCTCCTTCCGCTCTCTCTGCACCTGGCCGAAGATAGCACACATGTGGCCGTGGGTCAAAAGCCAAGTCCCGTACCCCCAGTGAACATCCGATTCAATCCAACCACTAAAATAGGTTCTAAAATGGGTGGTGAATTCACCCCAAATTGGTACCATTGGTTTTGACCCACAGCCATGTAATGAAAAATAACTCTAAGTGAATCACCTGGATTGTTATGGATTGTAACAACATCCTTTAGGGTCCAAGTAATCAAGTGAAACCTCTTTTACCCTGGGCTGTTTAAAAAATAAACATAAAAAATAAAAATCAAGCAACGCCTTTGCGATATTTTCTAAGTGAAGGCAGCATTTTTCCGAACACCGGTTCCGGCACTTGGGCAGAACTCAGTCCCGCCAAGCCTCCCTGGATACCAGCCCGAGACAAAATAAACCCCAAACCCAACACAACCCCGAAGAACTCTCAGACTACCACCAAATCAACCAAACCAAACCAAACCCAACCAAACCCAACCAAACCCAAGCAAATCCAACCAAACCCAACCAAACCCAACCCAACCAAACCAACCAACCAACCGAGGTTAAGCCCAAACCGGAGCTTGTGAAAACAAAAGCGAAGCGGCTCCGGCTCGCCTTTGCGCCGAAACGGGTCCGGGTCCGAACCCGCCTGGTTCAACTTCCGGCCCACATCCCGGAGGTGTCTAATCTCCTGTCGAATCCAAAGGCTGGGGGGTCTTCGCAATGGCCCGGGGCCCCTTACACGGTTCGCTTCTGGTTTCACTTGAAACGCCAGCCAAAAGCGGTGTTGCGAAACACTCGCGAAAAACAAGTCAGATTCTGATAAGTCTGGCCCTGAGAAAACCTGACCCGCGAAACTCACAGCCTGCCCCCTTTGAACCGGGGAACTGAACTTCCTTTACCCCACCAATCCAACCACCCTAATCTAGGGGTACCTGCCAAAAGTGCGGTTCGGGTTGGAAAAAACACCTCCGCCCAAAAAAGTACGTCATCGCTTCAACGGAACCTGTCTCCATGAACCCCTCCTTTCGGATCTCGCTGGAGTCGTCGCTGCGGAGCCGCTGCTGACCTGACGGGCGCGGGAATCCGGGCAACCACTCGAAGGAGCCTTCGGCCTGACATACCGTGGATGGTTGCGAAATCCAATTCGCACCACTTGGGAAACCATCGGGAAGCCATCGTTTGTTGGTATTTGTTTAGGGTTTAGGGTTTAGGGTTTAGGGTATTTGCAGGGGAATCGAATCATTCCGTTGGGCTTCTTAGGTGCGAAATGGATTTCGCCCATCCACAGTATGCGGGTTGATCAAAAGGTCCCTTTACATGGGGTGACCATCAGGGAAACCACCCAAGAAGATGACTTTCACCACTAAATGGGACAAGTTGCCCATGGTGGATTGGGGGCCAGGACTATTGATCGACCCCCATATGGGTTTGTCTCAAAATAGTGGATTCCCCCCAAATGGGTTGTCTTCCGTTTGGTGTCCTTTCAAACCAACCCAAAAAAAATGATTGCCTAAAAGAAGACAGACCTGTAGAACTCTTCCGGGCTGAGCTAACCGACCCTGAGACCGAAGTCGAACTGGCTCGACCTCCTGATCCCGGACTTCTGAGAAACTAAATAACGAAACGTGGAATATTCCAAACGTCTCAAACGTCCAAACCAATAGTTTAGATCCCTGGCTCCAGCTTCTGAGAAACCAAAAACTAAAAAACTAGACGTGGAACATTCCAATAGCTTGCAGAAGTTCCAAAAGCATCTCGGGTGGGAAGCCTTTCCCCATGCCAAGGATAACGACCACCCACCCACCCACCCAGCCACCATCCACACACACAATTAATTGAAATAAAGTCATGTAGAATAAAATTCGCTTGGAAAAAGATACTTGACTACAAAGTAATCTTAAAAGAAAGAAAACTGATTTCAGTATAAACGTTATTTGAGAATAGAAAAAGCTGCCATGATTGAAAGAAATGTTACTTTAAGTATATGTTACATTAATATATAACAACATCCATAATTTGTAAACACCCCACCCCCACCTCACCCACCCATAATTTCCAAATCACCCCGGAGAAGGGCAAATCGCACAGCCATTCTTCGGATGTGCTGACCCGACCGGAGCAAAAGCCTTGCCCAAGACCAAGGAGCAACTGAAGAATATCTTACTCAGAATCGGCAACTCCCCTCGTCAACTTGGGCTTCGTTCTTGATCCTAGCCGCCGCCTTGCCAAGGCCAAACCAACTTGCTGCTGCTCAGGGAATCAAAGCATGCCGCAGCATGCCCTTCAAAAAAAACCTCCAAGTGGTGGAGAACCCTTTTTTCCGGGGGCCAAACCCTGGGGTTCCTTCCATTTCACCTGTCCTACTCCATTTGCTTAAGTCCCCTGGAAAAAAATATGTCCAGCAGCGATCGATTCCCTTTAGCACCAACAGGGGGGGCATTAAAATGTATTCTTAACCAAAATGGAAGTACTACCCCTCGCACCGCTCGAAAGCCGCAACAACTAAACCAACCCAACTGCTGGAGTGTCCTTTTTCCGGGGGCCAAACCCTAGGGCTCCTATTCCATTTCACGCGTCCCACCTGTGGAGACCCATCGGTGACGCGCCGAGCGGCGCTGCATCTCCTGCCGCTTCTCGAAGTGCTCCATCTTCGCGCGCTCGCGCTCCTCCGCCGCCTGGGCCACCTGCAACTGAGCGGGGCCCCCGCTGCGGGCTGCCCGGACACAACTTGGGACCGGAGGAGCAAAGCCAGGTGCGGCATCTCGGGGCTTTCGGGGCGTTCGCCGGGCATCTTGAAACGCGGGCTTTGTGGTTTGCCGCTTAGGGTAGTGCCTGGCCCTAGGGTTGCGAGCCAGCCGCTTCACCTCTCGCTTGAACCTGCGCTGTATGTGAGTGAGCATGCGGGGCTAGTCCGAAAAACGCAGGCACGACCGAAAAGGTTTCAGCGGCCCTGTTCCGACCCCATGACTCTTGACCCCCACTGCGGGGGGAAAAGGGGCAAGAAAAAGAGCAAGGCGAGCCAAACTCGGGCCCCGAAGAAGTCGTTGCGGCCATCCCGACGCCTCCAACCCGCTCCAAGTCCGCCCAAGGAAGGCCCCGTTTCCCGTTTTCACCCCAACCCTGGCGCCCAAACCCCCGAACCCCCCCAAGAAAGCGCCTGGTTGTGCTTCAAGCGCCACCTCAGCCGTTCCTCCAGCACCTTGGTGGCCATCCTGGAAGCGAGATGGGGCCCACCGGGCTTCGACCTGGAAATGAAGCTGGGGCCATGGTGCTTTTGGTGATATGGCCATGGGTCAAAAGTCCGCACCCCCAGCGAACATCCCAAACCACGCTAAAATAGGTTCTAAAATGGGTGGTGCACCTACCCCACAATGGTACCATTGGTTTTTGTTTTGAACCATGATTATATCCAGGTCAAAGGATCCCAAGACAAGGTCGGATGATTCATGAATAGACGCTCGAAGCCCTTGAAACCGCGCTCTGCAAGCCCCCCCCCAAATAGGAAGGAAGCAACGTAGGTCTTAGACCGGAAAAAAACAGTCAGCCCGGGAAGCAACCCGGAACCCCGCTCCGGACTCGAGCTGGGCAGACACTTCCTAGCCTCCTAGCTGTCAGGCCCCTTCTGACCCAAAGGCCCTTAGATGGGCTCACATGGCCCCCAAAAACTTGAGCACCTCGCTTGCGGATGTCCCTGCTTAACTCTTTTGTTCGCTCCAGGGGGGACAAAGGCAAGTCTGGGGTCCCCTGAAAACCACGAGACTCGCGTCCTCCACTTGATGTTGGCGGCCTGCTCAATGACCCTCTCCTGGCAGAAGGGCTGACAAACCTTGGAGCCTAAGATTGTGTGATGACTCCAGAGACTTGTACTTTAAACTGCCCCACCCATTCCCTTCATTGAGGCCCTTGTATTGCCCTCCCTCGGTCACTGTTCTCCCTCTTTAGCAATGCTGTAAACCCCCACCGCAAGGGGATATATATATATATATATATTAGATGTATACATATGTTGTATATTGTATACCCCTCACTCTGGGTGCCACCAATGGGAACCCCTCACCCCCGGAAAAATGCGGGGCCATTTTTCACAAACAGCTTGACGTCGGCCTTTCCACCCAACAGGTCCCCAATCTTACAGGTGATGAGTCTCAGATCTGCAGACCTTGCCCCTTTCCGACGCAAGAGGACTCCATGCCCCGGGAGCGGAAAACTAACTCTCGCAATCACAGTCCAGGCTCTGCCTAGGGGCATGTCAAAACATGTGGGAGGCTACCCTTGGTACCCTTGGAGTGTTTTTGCCGGGAAAATCACGAGGCAAACCACGACAGAGGCTAGCTTGACACAAGCCCAACTGTTGAAGCCAAGTTTGCCCCCCCCCCCCCCCCCCGCATGCAGAAGGAGGTTTCTAAACAGAAAGAAGGATCCCCTAAACATCCTAGGTCTCCTTCTGGTATCCTGCAAAGGCAAAAACCCAAAAAGGGGACGGTGCGAAACCCACGAGCCACGCAAGCCTCGCAAAAAAGAAATCTCGGACGAACCTCCCGGCCAGCTGGGCCTGGATCGCATGCTCCTGCTCGATCTTCTGCATGAGCTTCTGGCCCAAAGGGACCCGGGGGAGGGCATGGCTCCATAAACGGAGGTGGCGCCCCAAAGGGCACCCTGCGGGGGGGGTCGTTTTTGTGGCCCGGTTGAAGTAGACTTGAAGCCAGGGTGGTTGAATTCCCCCAAAACAAGCACACCCCTGGGTTTAAGGTCTGCCTGGGGTAGTCAGGGGAAGATGAAAAAAAAAGGAACCCTGCGCTTGAAGGACGACCTCGGAACCCTCTCAATCTTTTTTGAGCCACCATTTCATAGTGACTCTTTTCTTCTGCAACACTTGCAGCCATGCTTCAAGAAAACCTCATGTCCAGCTTTGGGTCTTGGCTCCGTTTGGCTGGTGTCGGTTTGGTTCCTGTGCCGTGGATTTGTCCAAAAGGACACCTAGGGCGAGGTGTCGGAGAAACTCACAAGCCACATGTTGACCCTGGCCCACCTTTTGACTACCCCAGGGTGGACTTCAACCCAGGGGTGGTTCCTTTTTCCCAAAATTGGACAAATCAAGGTGCATTTAGGGGGACTCCTCCCGTATCCCTGGTTCCCCCTGCATCCCTGCTAGTTGGTTTCTTTGACTAAAGGAGCACACCTGGGTTGAAGTCTATCTTGGGGTAGCGAAAAAGTGGCGCCCTGTGTGAACCTATAGATAAACCCGGATCAAGAGCTGAGGATCCCCTCTCTGCATTTTTCGTAAATTAAACGGACACCCACCCACCAAACCATCTAAAAACCGGCAAACAAAAACCTCGGGCGCCGGATGGCTCCAACCACCACCACCACCAAAAGTGACCCTTAGTTGAATCTCCCCATCCTTTCGCCCCGCTTCTCTCCCCTTTTTCCCAGCCCAGCGCGTCGAGGGACATGGCCGACTCGGCCTCAGTGCGCTGGATCTCGAAGTCCCGGAAGCCGCCCAGGATCTTGTCCCTCGCGGCGTCCTGCGACCGCCCCGTGTCACACGAGCCACGCGCCCCCGGTTCAGAACCGCATAGGCGAGAAAGACGCGGGTTCGACGGCTGCCCGGCCCGGTTTTTCCGGCAGTCCAACGAAAAGTGTTGGTGAAAGTGGATGGTTTTGACAGGAAGCATTTCGGCGTCATGCCCTTTTGCCAGGTCGTTTCAGAAATTGGGGCCATCTGCTTTAAGCTTGAGGCACTTGGACCTGGGAACCGGCTTCAACCATGTTATTTTTCCGTACCTTGACGGTTGCCTGGATCTTGGAGTTGATACCATGTCTAGTGGAGGATGCTGGAGTTGATACCATGATCTTTAGTTGCAACCACGTCGCAAGATCCTGTCACAAGGTGAGGTAAATAGGGTTAGCTCCCTTCTCGCAATAGTTACAACCCGCCTGGCGTTCTTTGAAGTCGCCTCCAAAGCTGACAAAAACGCACGCCTCAAAGTTTACGTGTGGGCAGCTTCACCCACGAAACTATTCGCGGGATCCCTAAAGACGACTATGACAAGGCTTCCGATGCAGTATTGCAGGCTGGCAACTTGAATGGATCCAGGTTGCCAGACCTGCACTCGATGGTCATGCTCCCTTTTCAGAATCGAGCTCTGAGCAAAGAACGAGCCCCTAAAGGAGATGCGTCTCAAAAGCTGACATCAAGACTCCCATCTTGGATGTTCAACCCACGTCAGGCAGTCAGGTCATAACAAAGTTCTAACCCTGATTATAACCGGGGTTAGCTCCCTTACAAAGAGATACAAACGTGACCCAAAACAACAGTCTAGAAGTAGGGGAATCTGCCTTTGGGCGTGCCCTCTCTCCGTAGGGAATGAAGGGTTTGGGAATGAACCGGAAGGGGAGATTCCCTCAAAGGATTCCACAGGGACGGCTTTTTGCAGGGGGCATTCCATCCAACTCATTCCGTGCCTATCGAAACAGCACGTAATTTGGGGCAGGGCTGTGGGAAATGGAATCCACCTCTGTGATACCACAAGAAAGAGCTTCCCAAAGACGAAGTCCCCATGTAAAGGGGGGGATTCCAACTCGTATCACAGCAGTGGTTGGATAAACCCTTGATCCCACGATTCCACAAGCCCTGATTTGGGGTGCCCCATCTCAGGCACCTCCCTGTCCGCGTGGGTCACTCGCGAGCCGGAAGATCCTGAAAGATCGGGCGTGAATTGGACGAAGCTGTGGGTCACAAATAGGCTAACTCCCAAATGGGTTGCCCGATCGGTGGAAACATGGACCAAATCCTCCGGTTTTCGGGTGGTTTCATTTTGACCCATACCCAATTCAGATGACCCAGAAATCCTAAGGCGATCACCAAACTGAGGCCACGAAAAATATGGGTACCAAACCGGGGACGCCAGCAGAAGGTCGGAACCTATCGATTCGCTTTGAACCACAGAGTGAATGGGGAAGCCGATTTGGTGGAGGTTAAAGTTCGGTGGGTGCCGATTCATGTCCACTACTTTTGAGGCGGTTCTCGCTCTTGAGATTCATAGCCACATCTGGAGGTGGCTTGGCTAGACTGGTCTTGGCTAGACTGGTCTTCGACTCCCCTTGAAAAACCATATGATTTAAAGCTAGTGAGTGGGGGAAAAAAAAACGCAGAGTCTACCGCTGAAATGGATTGACCATGGGCGATCCGCTGAAAGTTGCTACCCTCTGCATAGACACTGACCCAGCATTTTTTGAATTTGGCTGTACTGTGGGAACAAATCCTGCACCAGTTGGACCGAGTTGAACCCTATGAATACTGGGATAAGCCACCGGTGCGAAACGGATTTTGAGCGTCAGCATGTCAAAACGAAACCTTAGAGTTCAAGGCATGAAGCCCTGTCCACTGTTGCAACTTGAATCCCTGAACCACCCAACAAGTTGGAAACATTGAGGGAACTTTCGGGGACGCCAAAGTAAGCCTTTTATGGGTAGGCCAGCCTTTTGGAGTGGTTTTTTCAAGGGAAACCGTTTAAGGACACCTGACATTTCGCGGGCTCGCCTTTGACACAAGCACAGATACAGCTCTTTTCACGCAACAGGTGGTCGGGGGCCCGTCCATGGTGAGCCCGAGGTTTACCTTCGGATCCTTTGCGGCTTAAACCACCGAGATCCCACCAGGGCACGCAAAAAAAAGGAACAGTCTAGGATTCCGTTGGCTCAGAATATGGGCAGCTCGTCTCTTTTTAGGGGACCAAAACAAAATGGAATTCGGTTCTATTGAACTCCCTAAAGGGGTACCCTCAAAAGAAGACAGACCCATATAAGTGTGTGCGTGCGTGTGTTTGGTGGCAATCTTGGGACGCGTGAGTTTACAACCCACAGCAACGGGTCTGGCCCCTTCACTTCTGGGGGGGTTGTCTCAAAATCAGCGGCAACGGCCATGGGTGCTTCCTGAAGTTGAGACAACGTCTTGGAGTGGTTTCTTTCTTGCGCTCGGATGAGAGGAAACCTTCGTTGCCCGGCGGCTTCCCTTCAAAACCAAGCCAAATAGAAAAGGCTCCCGGTTCCCGGCGCCCGGCGCGTCTTTCGGCTCTAAAAAGCCGAGCTGCGCCAGGAGGTCGCGGTGCCGCTCCTGAGGGAACGAAAAACAGGTCCCGCTTCGCGCCCTGGACACCTGGTGACCTACGACAACATGTGGTACCCAAGGATTTGTTTCCCCAAATCACAAGACGAGATCATTTTTTTCGGGGGAGTTGTCCCCAAATCAAACCTTGAAATAAGTTTACTGGGGATGTTTCCCCAAAGCACAAGTGACAAGTTGATGATTTTCAGGGTGTCCATTGAAACGATCCATACCCACTGTTAGAGGTTCCGGAAAGGGAGATGGAGAAAACCCTGCACTCAAGGATAAAGTTGGGTGACAGCGCACAACTCCCTTTTGGCTCCTGGAAGAACTCGGACTGGTTCGGCGGTAAAAGTAGATGCCATTTCCATCAGCTTCGTTTAGTCCAACGTATCTACTTTCACCTTGGAAACTAACCCCAGCGAACCCAGGAACCAGTGTTGTAAGCTGCTAAGTGGCAGAAATCCAAAGTTATCCTTGCTCCCCTACTTGGAATGTCGGGATCTGCTCCCGGTAGCCTAAGTAAACCTTGTGGATAGGATTTTACGGATCTGTTGGGGTTAGAGTGGACAGTAAACCTACTTGATTGTCAGTAAACCTAATCCTTGATTGGGGTTAGAGTGGACACTTGTTGATTTTGGAAGTGTGTATGCGGCATGCTCGGGTTTGGGAGTGAAACAAGTCCAACTTCAGGGCCTCGTTGCCTTGCAGGACAGAGTCCTCAAGGAACTGCCCTTTTTCGCAGTTTGGCAACACTGAACATGCCAAGCTCCGAAATCTCGTCTGGTGTTGAAACTTGGGACCAACCCTTTGGTGGGCGTCATTGCATGGGGCTTGTATCGATCGAGTCCCTCTCCGGAACAAAATATATAACGCAAACAGGCCCATCTAACGCCGCAGCGCACTACGTGAGTGTTTTTTTTCTCATTCAGGACATCAAGCGGTCGGAGGACCTTCTGCCGATTGAATTTTCTAGTTCACGCCCATAACAAAAACAAGCGCGAGTTTGGTGAGGCGATTCCGCCAATAGTCCTATGGTTAAGAGCCCCAAAGAGCCCCCCCCCCCCCCCCGGCTAGAAATGAAACACCCGAGCCCAGAAGCTGTCGATCGAATAAAATCCGCGGAGCTCCACCCAGAAGGAAACCGCAACAGGTTTCAGGGAACAAGGAAGCCAGCCATTGGCCGCCTTGAAGGCAGACTCCTTTGACCTTTACCAAAAAGTGATGCTCAAAATAAGAACTGGACAGCAGAGCTGGTGCGTTCCAAAAAAAGGCCATATATCAAGCCCACTCGGGCACCCGGGGCACCCGACGGGCTGCAGCCGATCGACCGGGTGGGGTCGTCCTTTCTGCGTCCCACCCTTAAAATGGATCACAACATGCAAATCCAAAAATGGGCTATCCTGTCTTCTGCTTGCAGCTCAGTACACGAGACATGGCCTCTTCAAACTCCAATAAACTCCAGGTTGGAATGGTGCGAGGGACAAGCTCCTGCTTAGTTCAAAGAATACTTCGGCCAAACCAAACACATGTGTCAACTTCAGATTCACCTGCACGAGCATGCTCATCAGGGGCGCTACTAATGGTCCTGATCCGAAGTTGACATGGGTGTGTCTTTTCGTCAAAGGTATGTGGTTTCAAAGGGAAATGAAGAGGAAACCCAAAATCCATTTTGGGTCCCAAAAAAGACACACCATGACGAATCCTGATCAGAGGGGCCCACGTCATTTGGACTCAAGATATCTGGGATGTCGAAATAGGCAGGCCCAAAGATTGCAGGTTTCCATGTGGTTTCCATTTGGGACCCACAACAAAAGACAGGCAGACAGACAGACAGACAGGCAGACAGGCAAACACACACACACACACATACACATCGATTTGATCCTTGCAAAGTGGAATGTCTTGGGACCCCAGTTCCACTTGCTTGCCGAAACCACAACCCACCTTCGCATGCTCCTCACCACCGGTTCTCACACATTTGTCACCTAAACTCCTTTGTTTCCCTTTAGTTTCTCTGCGGTGTTGGTTTCCCTTTCATCCCACAGTACCCCACGCGACTGCAGCCACTTGCAAACAAACCCGCTTCTTCCTTTCCCTCGGTGTCGCGCCTAAGCGTGAAGCAAGACAGCACAACTCTCGGGAAGAAAAAAGGAGGACTGAACCATGGGGACATTTTGACTTCACCATCTACTTTCACCCAACGACACTTGGCTTCCTGGTTTCCCCAGCCGCAATTTCCGAGGCCGCTTCTGGAGGCTCGGGAGAGGGAAGCTGAAACCCTGAACCGGCGTGTTGCGTTTCGGTCCGCAAAGAAACAAAGGGAACCACCCCCAAATGGGCGGGAGCCTCCCAGTCCTTTGAGAAGCAAATGGGTCCGACCAGGGCATGTCAATGAAAAGGGGAAGAGGGGGTTCGCTGAAATGTTGCTGCCCTTGGATTGAAATACACCCAGAAAAGTCCCATGGGAAACCAAAAGACCAAAACACCGATGTTGGCAAACCCAACTTTGGCCGAAACTGGATTCAAACCCGAGCACTGTCAGAACTCGGCTGGCTGAAGTTTACGAATCATAAACGGGCGTCCCCAAGCTTGAGGCTCACCGGGTCCTCCACATGGCTGTGGCTCAAAAAACCGGTACCCAAAATGGGTTGCCCTGGAAAGTGGAAACATGGACCAAAACCTGCGGTTTGCCCCTCCGATCGTTTAATTTTGAGCCACCACATGAGAACCTCCGAACTGCAAACCCCGAAAGTGGGTGGTCACCTAGTTGTCCGTTTGGTTTCCCTTTGACACCCACCAAACAAGGGTACCCTCCCCCCAAAAAAAAACACACATGAAACCAAGCCCTTACTTGGCGGGTTGCTTTTTTTTGGCTGGTCCCGGCTTGCACCAAAAAAAGGTCTTGAGGGCTTTTGTTTTCTTTGGTGTCCCATGTGCAAAAAAGCCCAGGGAACAGGCAACGGGCGATCGGACGCACGTCCTCCATGGACAGCTGGTGCATGGCCGCCCGCAGCTTCAGAGCCTCGAACTTCTCCTCGTCCTCGATCACCAGGCCTCGGCTCAGCCACGCGGATCTTGGTGCCCGGTGCCTGGTGTGGTGCGAGAGGTCTTGGTTGACGTGGGAAGGGGAGGAAGAAAAAAAATCGCCGTTAAGTGGTTGGATTTCAAGCACTGAACCACAACAAGCAAAATGTAAAATGTGTCCCAACAACAACCATGAGGTAGGGAATGAAGGGTGTGGGAATGAAACGGTGTTCTTCCTAAGCCCCCTGGAAAAAATAATAATATTGCCAGTAGCCATAGATTCCCTTTAAACCCAGCAGGGGAATTTAAAACATATTCTTAAGCAAATGGAAGGTAGACAGCAAGAAACAAGCAAGCTCCAGGCACTTTCTCCACACCGTAGGGAGGGGGTCATTCCCTCAATCCCTGCTGAGAAGCACTAAAACCTGCGGCTTGCCCTAGCTATTCAATTTTGAGCCACACCCAGTTGGGGGTGGGATTGTTAAAGCTGAAGTCGCATTCAAGCAACAAAAACAAACATACTTAAAAATGATGATTGTCCTCGGGCTTCTCTTCGGGACAAAAGTCACCCTCAGGGAAACACGCAGTTTGGTGGACTTGTTTGGGGGAAACAGGCAAACGCTATGCATTTTTCAGGGAAGGATATGTTTAGATATGGGCAGTTTGGGTTTTAGTTCGGAATGCTTCCCGATGTCTGGTATGTGCCAAAATATGATGAACCTCTTGCTATTGTTTGTTGATTACGTATTTCTCTTCTTTTTTTTGGGGGGGAAGGTTCGTTGTCACTTCACATTTAAACCCACCCAACAAAGGGCACCAAGCCCCAACAAAAACGCGCTCCCATATGACCAATTGGAGGTATACTATACTCTAATTACACGAAAAAACATCAGAGTTGGCCGGCAGGCGGGCTTCAAGCGAAACCAACAGAACAAACCGAAAACCATTCTTGGGCGCCAAGTCCCTTCACTTCTTGAGTGGATGGGCCAAAAAGCGTCTGAACCTTTGAGTTACCACCAAAATTGCCTTTCCAAAAAGCTTAAAGTCCGGGAAGTTGAGTGAGATTCTGACACTCACCTTTGATTTGATGTGCTTTGACATGAGCATCGGACTTGGTTTGAAGTGTTGCTGCCGTAGCAGTCCCTCTGTGGGGGTCAATCACCATCCAGACATCGCCGCATGGGTCCAGGCTGACAGCGACTGCGCTTCAAGGGCCCTCTTTGATGCGCGCGCGAAACAGCGAGGAGCAGAACGCAAGGCAGCGCAGGGTCTTCTTTGGGCGCACTCTGAGGAAAATCCAACACCATGGAGCTCATGACGCTGGGTGCATGTGCGGATAGGCAAACAAAGCACGTGCTCCGGTTGAAGCAAAAAGAACCATCAGCTAAAAGAACGGGGTAAAGAAGGAGGGGACCATTGCAGGCTTGAAGGGTCTGGCTTGCTCGAGCACACGGGCCATGTCATTCTTGCAGCCGGCCATCTTCACGCCCTCTTTGCCACCCCGTGCACCCCCCCACCCTCCCCTGAACACCCCCGAAAAGTACGAGAAAACAAAATGGGGTTGGGTGGGTTAGGTCCACCCCCCTCCACCCCCCTCTGCCCCCTCTGCCCCACCCACGCCGTCTCTTGGTCCCCGGCGGTCAAAGCAGTCGGTGGCCATCTCCGCGCGGCGCCGCACCAGGCGCCGCTTCTCCCTGCGAGTGTCCGCTACGGGGATCGATCCCCTGACCAGGGAGATGCGTAACCAGTTCTTGGCCAACCGCTGGCAGGTAGTTCCTAGGGACAGCGCAGGTGCCGGCTGCAACAAAGTGCTTTGACCTGAGGCTGCCCAGATGGTGTAACTAGGGACATGCAACAAATCAGGTTGACCCAGGATTCATCAACCCGTCCCATTGTTAGGGGTGTTCCCTCCAAAAGCGGTCTGAATCCACACTAAAAGGGGCCACCCCCTATCAATCAACCAGGGGTTTATTAATCCGTGGTTAACAGCATATATATATATATATATATCCAGTACTAATGTAATCCCCTGCAAACCCGGCGAAATTCGATAAATGAATTCGGAACGGAAGCAAACTGGGGCTGGGGATAGTCCCCATGACAACTGTGTCAAGGGTTATTCCGTTTCTGACAAGCGTAGCTCCTGGTGGACTGGTGGCAGCTTTCACAAAAACGGAGGTCTCGGGCACCTGGAAGCAACCCTGCTAGGGCAACTGGGGTTAACATTAAGTCCCCTCAAATTGAGGATACCAACCTATATAGTCCTAGAAGGGCAACTGTGGGTAACATTGGGGGGCAACGTAGAAAACGAGTAAAACGAGGGTAACTGGGGGTAACGACGTAAATGACGCACTTGAAAGTTCCATGCACACGTCAGGGAAGTAGATGACTATAGTTGTAGCTGCCGTAATGGAAGCAAAGGGGATATCTACACCCAACAATGCAACAACAAACCAGCAACCCTTGAAAAAGAGCATATCTAGGGATAACTGTCCGCCACCAAGGTCACACACACCAAATATATATATATATATATATTATATATATATATGCAAAAACAAAAAGATGTTTAAGACCACCACGAAGGGAAATCTGGGCCCCCAAACTGGTGGTTCTTCTCTTGTTTTCCTTTAAAACCACCCAAAAGGGGGTACCCTACAAAAAGATCTTGTCCTTGGTTTGGTCAGGTCTGGGCATTTCAAAAAACCGCCAGTCCCTCCTCCCCTTCAATTGGAAAGCAAAACCAGGCTGAAACAAATCTTCTGCCCAACATTGGACTCGATTTGGGGAGGGGGGCCTTTTTTTGCCAACCTGGCTTCGGCGTTGCTTCGGTTTCCCTTCCAAACCTACCAAACTGGGGGTTTCCATCTCGGGGTTTCCCGACCAATCGCGCGAAGACGAGGCCGTGGCTGAAGGGCGTTGTTGCGCCACTTGGACCTAACAAATCGACCGACAAAACCAACGCGTTGAAATTCCGTGGTTTTCCTCGGAGGCTGCTTTTTGTACCCCTGGGACTGAAATTTAACTGGGATGTCCGTTGTCTCCCCTAAAAGTGTTGCTTGTGGGCAAACTGGAACCCAGCCACTAGATCCACTGAATAGCCTAAACAAGCTTCAGGAACCGGACGGCTGGGAAGCTTGGTTGCTGTTGGTTAGGAAAGCCAAAAGGAAACTCGCGGCGTTTTTGCCCGCTGATTTCTTTTGCCCCAGTTTGATACACGTCCCGTATTTCACTCCCTGGCCCGGACCGGACCAAGGTGATTGCAGTAACGACCCCTCTGCAACAAGTTGAACGACTTCTTGTGGGTCCAACCGAAAATCGCCACAAAGTTTCAACCGAACAGTTCAAAGCCAAAGATCCGTAGCCGCAAAATCGCCATAAAGAAAAAGACGCCTTTTTGCCCATCTTCGGCGTTCCCTGACACAAACCCACAGCCAGCGACAGTTGGCATGATGCGCACAGAAAGCTGGTACCTGCACTTTCTGGTCGATACTCACTATACCCCCCTCTTCTTTTGCCTAGATGGGTCGATAAAAGGGGCAGCCCTCAAAATGGTGTGTCGGTCAACAAGGGGGCTGTCAAAATGGAGAATTCTGCACAATACAGTGTGCGTAATAGCACCAAATAGGGGGGGGGGGGGCCATCTCTCAGTGATTGTCTTCAATGGGTGCAAATGAAATGAGGCAAAAAGACGACGCCAATAGGATCAACCCATCCAGTGGCCAAAGGAATTGGCATGTTGTTGGAACTGTATGCTTTGTTCTTCGGGCAAGCCTCTTCCAGACGATGAACAGTTCCTACAATGAGCGCCAGACTGAAAGCTGATTTGGGTGTTTTCCCAAAGGGTCCCTTGGTCACGTGGCTGTGGCTCAAAATTAAACGATCGGAGGGGCAAACTGCGGGTTTTGGCCCACGTTTCCACTTACCGATCGGGTTCGCAACCCATTTTGGAGTTCCTTGGGTTTTTTGGTTGCCACAGCCACATGGCAAGGCAAAGGGAAATGGACAACCAACTGCTCAGCGGGGCCTTGAAACGACGAAAAAAGTCGGCTTACCCCAAGCAAAAAAGAGGGCGAGGGTGTGTCCTTGTTTTAGGTACCCCGCCCCCCCGCCAAAAAAAAAAGTGTTTTGTGGTGCTCTTTTAAAGCAACAAAAAATAGGCACCCGCAGAAACACAAGACACGCCCATACATCAAGAAGGCCAAACAACAACCAAGGTCAAAACAAGGATTCACTGACACTTCGCTTGGGCATGGACTCCAGCTTGGGGTAGATGAGATGCAGGTCGGCACTCTTCCGCGCGAACTCCTGCAGCATGGCCGGGGCTCAACCAAACGGAGCCGTCTCAAATGGTGGTCCCCCACCCACCCAACCACCCAACCAAAACAAGCAAAGAAACACAAGCAAGCAAGCAAGCAAGCAAGCAAGAAAGCAAAGCAAAGCAAAGCAAAGCAAAGCAAAGCAAAGCAAAGCAAAGCAAACAAGCAAAGAAGCAAGAAACAAAAGAAACACCCACACATTTTTGTCAGTGGCGCGTTCAAGAAAACGGTTTCTTAGTGGGGCACCATCCTGGGGGCCTGTGCATTCGCTAAGCTCCAAGTTGGTTGCTGGGAGGGTACCTGAAACGGCAGTGAAACGCACAGCCCCTTCAAGGCACTCTCACTAACAGACACAGAACCTGCAAGAGAATCACTGTGGACCCAGAAAAGATCAGATCACCTGAGTCATAATCAAAGCCCAGTATTAAAAATGGCCTACGCAGACCCATGGAAACAAATAAGAAGCCGGAGATCCGCAGCTATTTATGGCTGGGATTGTCCTTGCTAACCTTCATCTACCCGGGTTTTAAGCACGTGGCTCACCTTTTGGGCCGTCCTCATCCACCTGGTTGGCCCTTGGCACTTGCTTCATCTTCTGGATCAGGTCTGCAGCAGATCGCCGCAAAGCAACAAAAACAAATGAGAGCGAGGCTCATCCTCAAACCTTCCATAGTTGCTTGATGGGGGAAAAAATACACACAAAGGTCCAGTGAAACATTCCCTTCAAAACCAACAAGATAAAATAACAAACATACTAAGCAACTGGGAAGAAACCAAGTTCCTGAATCGCGGATCCTGAGATCGAAGTGCAAACCACTTCTTCGGGACCCAAGGGACTGATAGTCAAAGCCCTAGGCGGGTCCTTGGATAAATCGATGGGTGTCGCTGGTAAATGGAGTACATACAACCCAAACCAATCTGAGTACCACCCATCCAAAACAGTGCGATCGATTTTAAGCAAACTAGCCTGAAAACGACACCTGTTGTCAAAACTTGCTGAACCGCAATCAATGGCCACTCCAAAACTGAAGATTCGTGCCTTGGATTGTGCCCAAGCATATCTCCTGCCCACGAACAACCGGCTTCAATGGGACCCTCAACCAGTCTTCCTTCTTGCGCGGACCGGTTTCACATCAAGCAGCGAAAAGACAAGGCTAGACCTCTTGCCAGAGGTGTCCTTTTTGGGAACATAGATGGCCCTGGTAGCTGATTGAACCACCAGGTCAACCAGGAATCGCCCTCTATTTTTTCAACCAAGTCAACCAAAAAAAACGACACCAATGCCTCTCGAACTTCCCATCCGAGCAAAATCTTGGCCGCCGCCTTTTGTCGCCGCTTCTGGGACATTGGAATCAACAATTTTCAGCGTCCCAAAGGGTGTGTCTTTCCTTAGGGCACCCCCAGTTCGGTAGGTTTTAAAAGGGAAACCGAAAGGACAAACCACGTTGCGCGCCATTGTGCGGCATCCAATCGAGAAACACAAAAAAAAGGACAGACCCAAATCTAGGACTCAACTGCCCCTTGCGGCGTCCAATCTCAAAAAAAAAAGACAGACCCAAATATGTTCTATTCAACTGCCCCTTGCGTCCAAAGAGTCTGTTGGTCCAAAGGGGCCGTCTTAAAATACGACGCGCCCCACGCAGGCTCTACCCCTGCGGCTTCGGCGCTTGCCTCGCACCTGTGTCTCGGAGCAGCTCCGCTGGAGCTTCTTGGGCCGCAAGGACCTGACTCGCGCAATTGGATGACCTGTAGAACTGAAACGCTATGGGCCTTACCCAAAAAACGGTTTGCATCTTGCAGGCCCTTACCAGGAATGAAGCGTGAATATCCTGATACCCTAGCTACAGCCCACAAAATATATTCCAAGTTTGACAAACAGATTCCCTCCCTACCAACAGGGAAATGGTCCTCCAAGAGGAAATTGGCTGCCACAGCTGCCTTCTTAACCAACCAGCTGCGTCTCTGTGAAGCTTCGGCAGGGTTTCTTAGGCTTCAGATGGGCGTGGGTCAAAATGGGGCAACCCCAAAATGGCTTGCCCCGGCAAATGGAAATATGGACTATAACCTGCGGTCCAATTCCTGATGGTTTAATTTTGACCCATCAGATAGAAGGTGGGAGCCCCTGGCGACCCTTGAAGAGCAACGCAGATGCTCCCAGCGGCATCTGAAGACGACTTGGGGATTGCTCACTGGCTCATATGATCTGCATTGTTTACTATAACTTGCTAGTGCTCAGCAGGGAATCAGGGAATGACACCTATAAACCGTCCCTTGTGGGTTCATTCCCTCATTCCCTACTGAGCACCAGTAAGATAAGTCCAAATGGCTTTCGCTTGCTTTATCTAATAGGCCAAGATGTCATGCTGTCCACTGCCCAAGCTCTGATTCTGACATGACCCCGGTGAAGGAAGGCCGGGAAGCCCGCAGCGCTGACAAACCTCAACTTCCGATCGGCGCGATAAGGGAACGAGAACACGGAACCGCCCGAAGAACAACCCGCCCGCCTCATTCGCTCAGTCCGAAACACCCGAACCTTTCTCGCCTGCCCAGGCTCACAGAGGGCGACATGGGCGGCAGCGACACCTGGCCAGTTCTGACCTCACCAGTGTGAATTCTGTTCGGGGGGGTTGGTTTTAAATGGGAACCAAAAAGAAAACTCGGAAGGCTCCAATCTATGGATCTGCGTTTTGGGATGGGCACGCAACCAAACCCAAAGCCCCAGGGCCCATTTGACTGGGTTCTATCTTGTTTGATTGGGCTGCAGGCCTACCGTAACCATGTTCGCGGAAAACCAAACAGTCAATGGGGTTGAAAGGGCGGCTCAAGTTGGCGGCATGCATCCCTTGCTTTGGAACCTCGTGAATTCTACGTAGGAACCCTTTGGCGGACATTTAGCTGATGATGTATGTCCAACTGTTTGGGCCTGTAAAATTCACAGCCACGGGCTATGAATGCACTGCACCCGCTGCTTGCCCACTGCGACTGTTACAGAGGAGAGGCCGACCACCTCATGCTGGCCCACCTTGGACGGGGTCCTGTTGATGTTAATTCTGGGACCCGAGTTACAGAGGCACAGTCCCCGAATCGAATTTCTGATCAAGAACTGAGGGTGTCTATTGAGGGTCAAGTTTAGCATGTACCTGGCAATGATTTAGGCTGCCCCATATGTTTAATTTGTTAAATGTGGGTGTACCCATCAGTCTACATAGTGGTTGTTTTGGCCAGGCGCAGCTGTCGGGTGTCATCAAAGTTCTTTCGGACCAGATGAGTCGTACTTATAGCGGAGAGATCCAACCTGAAACCCATGGAAAAGAATTGGTGCACCGGTTTCTTCTTTGCCTGACGAGACTCTCCGCCCTCATCCCGTTCGGTTTATGCGGATCAACTCATTTTGCCTGCCCTGAACTAGAGCTCTCAGAAAGGAACTGGCATCAGCCATCCAACCCCTGGATCTGTGTCGAAGGCGGATCCCAAGATCCTGGTTCGGGTTCCCTTGCCAACCTCGAAAGGGCAACAAAACCGCCGCCACATCCCAAAAAAATTCAGCGACTTCCGGGCCAACTTCCGACCCCATAGCTTTCAGCTCAACTTAGTAGGGGGGGTCCACCTGGCCTCGGGAATCAGATGCCACTTTTGGGGCCCAAGAACCACCATCCCCTGGTTAGACAAACTGGTTGGTTGGTTTAGTTGGGAATCAGATTTCACCTTTGGAGCGCCAAAAGTGGAAAGCACCATCCTAGTTAGATAAACTGGTTGGTTGATTCATGAGCTCAACTTTGGGAAGACCCGCCCAGGTGCCACCGGTCCAGGCCAAAGAATCGAGCCCCCGCCTCGCCCGTCGAACCGCCCGAACCGCCCGATGGGCTGGACGGAGGCGACGCCTGGCTGCTGGTTGCGCTTTTGGGGCCCGGAACCAGGTGGACCTTTTGGGGCCGTAAATGAATTGGTGGCTCGTTTCCATGTGGGACCCTAAAGAAATACATGTGGGAATCTCGAAGGCACCTATAGAAATGCTTCGTTTCCATGTGGGTGGCAAACCGCAGGGTTGATTTTCATGTTTCCACTTACCAGGCTTGATTTTGGTACCGGTTTTTTGAGCCACAGCCAAATATGGAAGATGGGAAAACCAAAAGGTCAAAAGGTCGGCTTTGAACAACTGAGAAAAGGACCTGGAAAGGTGGGAAAAATGTTGCCGCTTCTGTAAAAGGAGTATGCAAAAAAGTGGTATTGGAAAATGCGTCGTCTCCTTGTTCGAAGAGTCCTCTAGAAGACAAGATGGAAAACAAGCCACGCTTCTCAGGCTGGCTCTCGGGCTGGACAAGAGCGCCGCAAGCGGCAAATTGACGCTGCACTGCTCATCTCCCCCAAACAACTCTGAGTGGGTCTTCCCAAACAAAAAACAAAAAACAAAAAACACTCCGTGCCAGTCCAAAAGATCCAATGGACAGCGAGTCCATGGAAAGTAACAACCACCACCCTCCAAGAGTTGCTGATTCCCACCTCCAATCCTTACCGGGAAGCGCCTTTTTCTTCCGAATCCAACGTCCAGCCGGAAGCTCGTTGACATCCATTCGCTTGAGATGAGGGCGATTCAGCCCCCCCCACGCTGCCAGGGGGTTACCTTCTGCCCTCCCCCCCCCCCCTTGAGGTACCTCAGCTTTCGCTCAAGAACAGAAAAACAGCCTTGAGTCTGGTCCATATTCGGTAAATATCAAACCTTAAATCGTATTATGACAAAACATGATTTAGGGGGGAAGAAGCTTGAATCATAACAATAGATCGGGGGAAGAAAAGAAATGGCTCCTCATTCACAAAAAAGAGTGGAAAATCAAAAAGTTCGGGTTCTTGAGTTCCTTTTGTCACCCCAAAAGTACATCAACATATGTCTATATATATATATATATGTTATATATATATACATACACATAACATACTTTCTTTTACTTTCCCAGAAAGCAAACAAATCGAATCTCGGCGTTTGACGGCAGTCCAGGCCAAACCCCTCCCCCCCCCCAAAAAAAAAATAGTAAAAGGAGAATTCAAAGAATTATTCTTTCTACTATTTTTTTCCAACAGCAACACAACAAACAGAAAACAAAATCCAGAACAACAAGCAAACAAAATAAATAATCACAACCAGCAACAAAAATATTTAATCACAGCATACAACATTAAATAATTCAAACAAGCATACCAACAAAACAGCAACACTCTAAATCATCAAAGAACCCAAACTCAAAAACACACATCAACAAAAAACAAAGCAACATACAAACAAAAAATATCATAAGAGTATCAAACAAAACAAAAACAAACAGCCAAAGCACGAAAAAATCAAAAGAGCATACCAAGTCTAAACAACGCACTTTGAAAGAGATAAGCAAATTAGGAAAATATAATAATTCAATCTTTACAAACGATAAATATATTACAATTATAACATATAATAGTTTACATGTGATAATCATAGTATGATTAAACCTGTTTTTAGTGTTTCCAGTCTCCTATGTTGTTCCAAGAACTGCTCAAAATGTTTCTGATATTATACCAGATTAAGTTAACGTCATAATCTTTCATTGGTGCTCTTTGTTGTATTAAATAACGCAACACTGATACCAAAGTATAATAATTACAATGCATTGTTGTCATTCCTCCTCTTTCATTAATACTATTACCATTACGTTTAACGAGTTCTTCTTTCATTATGTTTTCGTAAATCTCTTTTATCCATTGATTATTTTGTTCTCCATACTCAGCGAACATATCTGGATATATATCTTTCATTGTTTTATCGTTTTTAATTATTTCAATGACTTGTTTATACGATGGATAGGGATTATCCTTAATGAAACTCAATATTATCTTTCTATCCTGTTCCAGCTTTTTTCTGTCACTCCTAGCATTGGCATTTTCCTCTTATTATATTAAGTATTTATTCCTTTAAGTCATTTTACATTATAATTATAACATATAAGGGTATAAATGTTATCATTATAGTATGGTTTTAGGGTTTTTGCCCCCAAGGATTTTCAAATGACATGAAGTCACCCCAAGGAATTTGTAGTGACATCATGACATCATGTCATCTGAAATTCCGTGCCCTCTAGAAATATGCCTAAAAATACTTAATTTAGGTGGGGATTAGGGTTTTGTCAGTTGAAGGGTTTTAATGTGACATCATGTCATCTTAAATTCCGCGGGACAAGGGATTACATGGTGACACTGTTGGTGGATGTTGTGATGAACCCCCCTAATTTAAACTCATCAAAATTTCCAATATTAAATCACTAGGTATTTTATATAGGTCGTCCTGTTTATGTATTATTGGATTGTCACCCCATTTTTCCTTAGTGCCTGATGGTAGCCGTTGTGCTGTTTCAATATGTTTATTATTCCTGATGTTGCCACAATCCTTTTTACATAATTCTCTAGGTTTCCAAGTTGTAATGTTATTCCAGAGCCTAGTGCGTTTCCTGTAAGACATTCCATATTTACAATAATCAACATCTTTAAAATCAAACTCATCCATAAACTCCTGATGTTTTAATAATCCAGTTTGTGGATTTTCGATTACAAAATATTTAGGATTGAAATATTTGATAATCTCAATAGTTTTTAAGACAATACTATTTGCATATTCGATATTCCTAATTCCCCTAGTTTTTGCTATGCTGTATTCAGTGCATGGGGGACTACTCCAAATAAAATCAAAATGGTTTCTGTCAAACTGTTTGTAATCCCACTCCAAAATATCAGTGTTGATATCAGCATTTTTCAAGTCTAATGATATTACATTAAATCCAAGCGACTTTGCTATGGTTCCGACGCTTTTTGTTCCACTAAATAATTCTAATAAATTCATATTATTAGAATTACTTAGATATTAATTATTCAAATAATACATATACTCCATCATCATTTTTTAAAATTTTATAAAATTCTAAAGTGGTGCTTTTAGGTTGTTTGATTTTTCCTGTATTCAACATATCACAGTATTTCTTTTGCTTTGTCGGGTAGTCGCCCGATGGTCTTCCTATAGATTTTGCTTGAAATATCTTTTCGATTTTTTCTTTATCTTCATTGCGTTCAACTGGTTTCATTTTGTCATCAATGGATTTAATCATATCATTTAAGGTTTTGATATGTTTACCAATTAATGTTATCTTCTTCATTAAATCATTAATAGTATAATTTTTATTTTTACATATTAGTATATATTTATTTAGATAATTATTTATTTAATTATACAATTTACCTGAATAATTTAATGTTATATATGTAAATAAATTATATTCTAAGAGTCTTTCATCAATTTTATTTTTCAATTTTATTAAACCTTCATCGTTACCTGTAATTTCAAAAAACTTCAACATTTTATCAAATTTATCCGGTTTAGTTATACCTTTCATAAAATATTTATTATTAAATTTAGCATCTAACCAATAAAAATATTATATACTCAATTGTCTAGCAAAGTTTTTATCACCATCGAATATATCATTAATTTCTTCATCATCAAAAGTTATAATTCTATGATCTTGCCCATTCATAGTTGGCATTATGATTATATAAATAATTAGATATTTATTTATTTATTTAATTATATATATTTATAAAGTGCAATTATGTTATATCTACTCTTTAAATACTAATTTTTCATGATTTGTTTAATAGTTTCCTGGGTTTCCTTATCACCATTTCCCGAGAGTGATGCATCCTTACCCCATTTAAAAGTTATATTATGGACATCAGTTTCTAAGTTGATACTGTCTTTAGTTTTATCAATACTCATTTTCTTATCATTTTTACTTATTTTGAAACTTGTTGGAATACATGAACATTTACATGTTTTAGTATTTTTTATTTCTAATTCATTTTTCATCTCTAACACCCTTTTACACATCGGACAAGAAAACTCAATTACTGATGTTTCTTTAACAATTTCTCCGCTATCTTCATCTGTTGAAGAAACACTTAAACCTATCTTATTCTTTTTGGTTTTCTTTTTTGGCATTTATATTAATATTTATATGTTTAATATATTGTATCAAAAACTTAATTAATTCTAAAATAAAATAACATATTTTTTTACATCTATTATCAGTTATGACAACCCGTTCTATATTTTCTACTTCATTTATTATATCAATATAATCCGAATAACTCATATTCATATAAATAATAAGATAAAATAGTTATTTAATCTTATTATTTTCATGCATAATAGAATATTGGTGGGGCACAGCACTTGGGGTTTTCATTGCACACGCGAGCAAGACACAAAACTAATTAGCTTCAATGCTTATTGATTGAAAACAATGGAAAGCCTGTTCCATTTTTATGATATTCACTGCCAGCATATCATAAAAAAAGATGTTCCATTAATATTAAATAGAATATGTATTTAAACTATTTTCTTTACTAAGTTTCATTGCAGTTGATAGACTAACATCTCTAATATTAATATCAATAACCTCTTGTACACTATTTATCATTTCATTTGTATACATATCGGGATAATCCTTCATAAAATTTACTAACTTTCTAAAATTAAAATCTAGGTTATTGTCATTTTCAATTGAGGACTTGGATACTACGATATTTTGTTTTTTAATTGCCGATAAAAAGTATAACATTGTATCATAATATATTTGTTCAGTGTCGGGCACTAAGATATCACCAAATTTATATATCCTCCGAATACTAGCCACTTCACTTAATTAATAGATTCTATTGCCATTATGATATAATTATATTATATGTTTTTTATTTTATAAGTATTTATAATATTATTTTTATTATGCCTGATGTAAAACCAATTGATGAAATCAAATATGACTTTAAGCAAAGTAAACATGAGGTTGTCCCTAAATTGCCGATG